CACAAGTCTACCGCCGCAACATGAACGAGTAGACAAATTGGATTGCTTAGGAGTTTATTGTATATCATGCAGCGCCTGCGGTGAGAAGTAAATTGGCGAAGCAGGAAGAAAAATTAACACACGAATCAAGGAACATCAAAGGGTATGCAGGAAATGGATACCGAAAGATCAGAATTAGCGGAACACATCGCACAGACTGGACACGAGATCAATTGGAAGGCAACTCGTCAAAGTAGAGCTGACGTTTCCATTGAATTTTGCTTTTCAAAAACTTGTCTTCATCCACGGTGGGCTGCAGTTTCGACCTGCATAGGTCTCATCAATACCCCCAGTGGGAGTCGAACGGAAATGAAATAGGGTGAATACATCTCATATTATTGATTTACTGGTAGTCTACATACTTACTTACTTACATACTACTTACTCTACTTACATGCGAAAAATAAGTGGCAGGTTATCTGTTTCAATTCGAGGCCAGTGAGCCCAATTAGGCATCCTATTTTGTGGCTTGCACCTTGAGCCCGCTCATTACGAGGTGAGCGGCCTTTGAGTCGATCGATTGCCAGGCCGGCACGACCAACCAATCAGGGCTGAGCAGTCAGTCCAAGATCATTCAATTTGCTGACTACTGCGTCTATTTCACATTCCGATGACGGCGAAACCAGCCAGCCAGCCAGCCAACCAGCCAACCAGGCATCCAGCCAGACACAGGCAGACAGACAGCCAAACAGGTGGCAGGTGAGTAGGCATGTGAGGCCTGGTGAATTTATTGTAATATCTGAGCTCACGTCCACTTTGAGTGCAGCGCATGGCATTAGGTGAACTTTCTTGTTGATTTTGTCCACGAAGTAGTCACCTTAGGCTCAGGTGAAAACTTGCTCATATGACATTTCTCATCAGAGCAGCGTATCATTCTTGCCAGCACCGGCTTAGCTCTAACTGCTGAAAATAGTAGACAATACGAGTAACTGGGTTTCGATGAATGTTTTGAGTTTACATTAAGGGGATGCTTTCAGTTTGTATGAGAGTAGATGGTGAAGAGGTTCACGGGTCGATGCTAACAGAAGACGACGGCGGGTTGACGCAGTACACGAGACATCCTCCCTCGTTTCGAATGAACAGAGGCTAAGCTCTCGACCCTCATGTGATGGGCATTATCGGAGCCGGAACTCATTCCTGTAAAAGTCTCACGCTAAGATTAGGTCAAGAAGCTTATCCAGGATGTATCTGTATATACATTTTTACCTTTTATTTGCGGCTATATAAGACATGCAAGAGAGTCGGGCAGTTTTCTTAACATAGTCTTGACTAGACACTTTTAGAAGAATAAGTTCCAGCTCCGAGGATGGCCTCCACGTGAGGCACGAAAGCCTAGCACGTTTTCACCTGAAACAAAGGAAGATGTCTCGTAGACATCATATTAAAGCCAAGTGGCTGCAGTACAGCGAGAATCAGACGTTGTCTTCTGATGAGATCGACTTAATCATGTACTTTCACACGAAATGAAAATCTTCCCAACAATGTCGACTCATTAGATTTATTGTAACTAAAGCAAAAGAATAAATCGCCTCCTTTTTCCAGGCC